TCCGTGTTCTAAAGCATCGGAGCATCGGAGCCGCAGCAGAGCCGCTCGGTCTAAGTGTCAGCCGTGACTTTGGGACAGAAAGCAACAGCTGCTCAGCTGACCGGAGCGAACATGGGGCTTCAATGTTTCCAGGGACGGGTCTCCCAGCAGATTCTGCATGAACGCTGAAGATACTTATTATTTAGACGGAGGGATACTCACACGTGGAGCATCGGCTTTTTACCGGAACATTCACACCAATGTGAACTCTCTCCGTAGCATTACAGGAAGCATCATTTCAAAATAAAATTCCAACAGATGACAATGAAGACATACCTATTAACTAGCCCAACATTCAACAAATCAGACAAATAAACAGGTGCAGGACCATTTAGAGATTTAAAAACCAATTAAAGGACTCTAAAACGGATCCTAGATTCAATTGGAAGCCAATGTAAAGAGGCCAAAACCGGAGTCATGTGGTAGAATTTCCTTCTGCCAGTTAAAAATCATGCCGCGGCATTTTGCACTAGTTGCAAGCGTGACAAAGTGCCCTGCCCAACCCCTATTAAAAGAGAATTGCAATAATCCAAACGTGAAGTAATAAAGGCGTGAATAACAATTTCCAAGTCAGGCTTGGAAAGAAAGGGCTTAACCTTCGTTAAACGTCTGAGGTGACAGAACGCTGATTTCACCACCGCGTTTACGTGACCATCAAAGGCAAGTGCAGAATCAATTTTTACTCCGAGATTTGTGATCGAACTCTTTAAATGTAAAGTCAAAGCGGGAAGATCAACATCTGGAGCGTCAGAAAAACGATTTGGAACAAATAGGATCGCTTCCGTCTTACGATCATTAAAATGTATAAAGTTTTTGCCATCAATAAATAAATCGATCACAGGCTGATCACAGCCGGCTGCTGCTGAGCGTCACGGCCCATCAGGATGAAGGCTTCTGCTGATTTCTCCCTGTCTTCTGTCCCAGCAGAGAAAGGACGCCCTCTGCTGGGATGAAGAAGAAACTCATGCAGCACATCAGGCTGCTTTTCAGATGAAAACGTTCCCTTTTGATAAAGCATGCAGGTGGGACAGGTGACCCTGACCCAGCCTACACATGATGCACTCAGTGTTTCTTCTTCACTCACCACTGTGCATGCAATCAATACTTATTATTAACCTTTGACTCTCTACCATGCTGTGGCTCATCACCGTTTCCATAGTGACACTGAAGCTTCCAGAAATCAACAGATTTCCACAGACTGTAGATAAAAGATGGAAACAGCAGGAATCCACAGCAATGCTTCTCTGAATGACATCATCAGTCCTTAGAGCGCCACTTCAGCTGGTTTAATGGACACAGCGCCGGCAGAGCGAACACTGCAGCATGTCTGCTGTGGAAGACCTAAATGGACAGCCAGCCAATCAGAGAACCAGCTTGTGATGAGGTCTTCATGGACTCTCTCTCCTGGTTTGTTAGCTGTGCACGTTTACCTGTGTAAGTCTGACACCCACCTGTGCACATCTGGACTCTTCTTCTGTGGTTTTGTCCTCCCAGAAACATTTTTGACTTTGGAACAAAATGAGAGTGAAATCATTTCAGGTGCTGATGAAACCTGATGAACTCAAAGTGTTCAGGCTGACGAGCTCCCACCTGCGCCCCACACTCAGCTGTTTTTCATCTGCAGTAACCTTCATGTGTCTCATGAAGCCGTGCAAAGCTTCGCCTTCTGACTGTGAAGCTCGTCAGTCACAGACCTTCCTCACAGACCCATTGCGTCCTGATTGGGAGGTTTTTATTGTTTTTGCAGAATCTTTGAGGCCCGAGGACTTCATGAGCCGTCAGCAGATTTACACAGGAAACTAAAGGTTTCATCTCTGTGAAAAACTACCTGTGAGAGGCAGGTTGTAGTGCTGCTGTAGTCTGATCTACGTGACTGCACGAATCCACGAGTTCAGTTTACTGTGTGAAATCAATCAAATCACACTTGTGAACGCTGAGCTCTGAGCTGTCATGACTGATCACATGTGTGTGATACCGTGTGTGTCCTTTTCAGGAAGACAGAAACAAACTATAAGAAGGAGGATGATGTCACCTCCTGCAGGGATGGTGCACACGGCCTCAGAAACATCCACCACATGCGGTGCTGCTGTTACACTAATCTCAGCAGTGCAGGAAGTTACCTGTTAGTGACGCATGTGTTTACAACCACTGGAAACTAAATGTGACCAAAGCAAGAAGACATGCAGATTCACTGACACACATCTGAGTTTCAGGGGCTCTGACAGGCAGACGTTTGGCTCCCCCGACTGGATGGAAGAGAAATTTGTAAAACTCACCCGTGTTATCTACAGTACAGGTGAGAACGCCACCACACGGTCCGATTTGAGATTTTAAAAGCTTCCTATGAGCCCACAGAACTCCTTCTCAGTTGCCTGTATGTGTCAGCACACGCACACCTGGAGCCTGCAGGTTGGCCCCGCCCACACCTGCCCGCTGTGGGTCCACACAGAGAACAGTTAGATTTTTGTTGCTGTCCTGGAAACAGACGTTTTCCAGTCAGCAGGTAACACAGATTTAATACTACGTCTATTCTGTGAGCTTTACTGGACGCTTGTTTTAAACAGACGATGATAACGTGCTGAGAGTTCATCTGACTGAGACAGTAACACACACACAGCAGGAACATCACAGAGCTTTTATTCGGATGTGAAACAGAGCGCGCGGCTCTCAGGACATCACGCCTTTAGTCTGGATCTCTGAATGACATCGTGAGCTTTAAGAGCACCAGATTTGTGCTCCATTCCTTGTAACAACCAGACGACCATCGTTGGTCAGGGTCAGGCGCATGGTCCTGTTGTCGGGTTTAACGGTTCCAGAGCTCCAAACTGGTTTATCGTCCTGGGTGTACAGGACCAGGTTGGAATCCCCCTGCAGGAGGAGCCGCGCAGGGTTTTTGCCGTTTGTGGCTGTGGCCCAGATAGGAGACCACTTGTAGACGACAAAGTTGCCATCTTCCTGCAAAGTGGAAGCAAAGAGAGCGGATCAGTTTGAACGTTTATACTGTGAGCTACAAATCATATGGACGACGATACGATTCATTAAAACAAGGTAGAATAGCTGTGCAGCTTTCAGCAAATCAGGTGTTAAGTGAATATTCAGATGTAATTGTCAGCGTCTGAGACTTCCCACTTCTCTTTATTTCTGTATTCCTAACTTCCTGATCTCTTTGTTTTGGTGAAATCTCGTCATTAGGGCTCTTTTATTCATAGATTCGTTTTATTGCCATTTTCTCAGGAAGGGTTTTCATAAACTTCACTAAAAAATCATTATCAAAAGAAACGTTTTCTAGCCAGGAAAAAGTGGCCAGTAAAGCTGATCTCTTTCTATATCTGCATGTTAAAGACCAGCTGTCAACTTTTAATGTTATCAGCTGTGTTTCTGGGCCATGTAATCATAAACTGATGAGGACAAGGTCACATCTTCCCACCTGTAGGATGGCTTTGAAGTTTCCATTTACACTGACGAGGGACTCGCCTTTACGCAGCTCCTGGTCAGTGCTGATGGAGTTCTTACTCATGATTCTAAAAGACAGAAATTACAGTTATTTTCATTTAAGAGACATTTTACAGATTTCAGTTCAAATCAGAAACTCTGTGAATTTTAATGCGTGTAAATGAGCCTGCACCATATTTCAGTTTATTTTACCAAAAGATCTAATGCCTGCAGCTACGAACCCCAGGCAAGATTAATTCTTACAGCTGCTGCATTTATGTACAAAGCTGTAACTCACCGGCTATGAACGCAGAAACGTCAGTGGGAGAATCAGATGCTGAACGTGCTGCAGCGACAGAGCAGAGCCTCATTTATACTGTTTGATAGCAGCAAAGGGTGATGGGAGGGGAGATGGGGACATCAAGAAAGTCAGGTTTTTTTATTCCTTCTTCCTTGGAAATTCTTTTAAAAGAAAGTAAAATATGAGGATATGTTACCTAGAATTACCTCTGACAACAGATTTCTTCATGCTGAAACCCACACGTCCACACACTTTTATACAGGACACTGAAAATCTTTCACACACTCTAAATTTACAGTACTGGGCAAAAGTTTTAGGCATGTAAGAAAGAAAAGCTGTAAACAAAGAATGCTTTCAATAATGGAAGTGTTCATCGTGTATTTTCATCAGTCAACAAAATGCAGTAAATGAACAAAAGAGAAATCTAAATCAAACCAGTGCCTGGTGTGACCACCCTTTGCCTTCTTCTAAGTACATTTGCACACAGTTTTTGAAGAAACTCGGCTGGTGAGTTGATCCAAACATCTCAGAGAACTAAGCACAGATCTTCTGTGGATGTAGGCTTCCTCACATCCTTCATGTAATCCCAGACACACACAATGATGTTGAGATCAGGGCTCTGTGGGGGCCAGAGCATCACTTCCAGTACTTCTTGTTCTTCTTTACGCTGAAGATAGTTCTTAATGACTTTGGCTGTGTGTTTGGGGTCGTTCTCCTGCTGCAGAATACATTTGGCATTACCTTGGCCTCCAGTAACGCTGTGAGGAACCTTGGAGTCATGTTTGACCAGGACATGTCCTTCAATGCACATATTAAACAAATATGTAAGACTGCTTTCTTCCATTTGTGCAACATCTCTAAAGTTAGAAATATCCTGTCT